ATACAAAGAGTTTTGGCTTGCCGACGAGAACTTGTAGCATACGATCGTCAACAGAGAGGACAAATTATTGCCAGTTGTTCATCAAGCAATGATACAATTGCTACTGGCAAAGAAGAAACTTCGACAATAGTAAATGTTTCTCAATCGATGTCGACAGTGACAAGACCTCATTCACAATCTGTTGTCGGATACGTGAATCCGCAAACAGTAGGTCGTTGTTATGGATGTGCAACTGCAGCTACAGAACATTGCTTAACCTTATTACGTGCTCTTGCTACTAATCAAGTAGCTAAAGAAGTTTTGTGTAAACAAGGATTAATCCAGGAATTAGTTGAGCATAATTTACGCAAAGGTACTGTACAAATGCAGGAAGAAGTACGACAATTGTTATGTCTCGTTACTAGAGACAATGCTCAGTCTACTAAAGAGCTTTGTTCTTTATTAACTTGTCGAATCACTTTGACACTTCGTGGTCGCGTTGTTACATCAGATTTATCATTAGCAGTGCGTCACGAAATGGCGTTATTGGCAGCTTTGATTCAGAAAGAGGATACTTGCTGGGAACAAAAATTACGTTGTGTCATGCAATTATTTTTGATGGCGTGTAAAGAATCGAAGAGTCCTGTTGTCATGGAAAGTATCATTTTACCGTGTTTAAAAATATTGCAAGGTCTTGTGAAACCAGAGCAACCAGTCTCAAAGAAAACTAAAGAAAAAAATATTGAATCATTGGCAACTGTTCAACCAATTGAAGGTATTACTATTGATGTAAATAAATGGTTGAATGGCGATTCAAAACATTCGTATTCCGAATGGATTCGCCGTATGCCTACTAGAAAAATAGAACAATCTTCAGGCAAACCAATGAAGAAGGAAGAAACTCGAGCACTTTATTTAATGGAAAAATATGGACATAGATGGCATAACCGATGTTTAAGACAGCACGGTGTTCAACCATTAAAATTAGCTGATGGTGCTTGGTTGAAGGAAGTTCTGTTTAATCCAAGTTCACGATTAGCACGACAAGTTGCTTGTAACATGATAGAAAGTCTGTGTCAAGGTACTGAACGAAAAAAAGAAGTACTTGTTTTACTTACTTGTTATTTAGAAGAATTACGTACAGCTGGCGAAAGTAGCACAGAATTTCTGACATTATATCAAAGTTTAATCAGACAACCGCCTTGGAAACAATTTTTAGCAGTACGAGGTGTTATGACTTTACTTGCAGATCTTTTAACAAGAGAAATCGAAGAACTTCATCGGCTGGAAGAAACCACATTAACTAGTGATTTGGCACAAGGTTATTCTTTGAAAATGTTGACCGAATTAATAGCAACGTTTCTCGAACAAGAAAATATTAAACAGCAATATAAAAGTCGGTTGGTAGGTGCTGTACTTAATGGTTATCTATCTCTAAGAAGATTAGTTGTCCAACGAACAAGATTAATCGATGATACGCAAAAAAAATTATTGGAACTTCTTGAAGAAATGACTACAGGCACTGAAGAAGAAACTAAGGCTTTTATGGCAATTTGTGTGGAAACAGTACAAAAATGTAGCATCGAAGATGTCTGTACACCAGTATTCATTTTTGAAAGACTTTGTTCGATTATTTATCCGGAAGAAAACGATGTAGGAGAGTTTTATTTAACTCTTGAGAAAGATTCACAACAAGAAGATTTTCTCCAAGGTAGAATGTTGGGAAATCCTTATAGTAGCTTAGAACCTGGCTTAGGACCCCTTATGCGAGATGTAAAAAATAAGATTTGTCTAGATTGTGAATTAATTGCTTTATTGGAAGATGATAATGGAATGGAGCTTTTAGTTAATAATAAAATTATTAGTTTGGATTTGCCTGTAAAAGAAGTATATAAGAAAATTTGGGTACCAGAAGGTGGGGAATGTGACGCTATGCGTGTTGTATATCGAATGCGAGGATTACTTGGAGATGCAACTGAAGAGTTTGTTGAAAGTTTGAATGCAAACAGCGAACAAGAAGTAAACAATGAAGAAGTATATAAAATGGCAAATGTTTTAGCAGATTGTGGTGGTCTTCAAGTAATGGTAAATAGATTAGCGGCTATACAAAATGTCAATCGAGCTCGACCGTTGCTTCAAGTTCTTCTTAAATTGTTTCGACTTTCGGTTAAAGTGAAAAAGAATCAAGAAGTTTTAAGTAAATTGGGAGCAGTAACAGTATTTCTCGACGTTCTTCAACGCTGTCTTGCAACTGAATCAGAAAATTGGCAAGCGAAAATTACAGAACAATTATTAGAAATTATGGAAACGATTTTAACGCATGCATCCTTATCTACACTTGAAGCTTTTTCACATACATCAAGTGGACCGGAGCATATAAAAGCGCTCCTTTCTTGTGCTCAATCAACTGCAGTCAGACAAAGTAATATATTGCCACAACTCGCACGTGTATTAGCCGCTCTTACATATGGCAATCGTGAAAAAATGGCTCTTCTTTGTGATTATTTTAAACCTGTATTAAATTTTTATGAATTTGACCATGAACATACAGCAGAAGATGAACAAAAACTTGAACTATTTTGCATTCTCACTCAAGCCATTGAGCGCAATGCCATTGGAAACACTCTCAAAGATTACATTATAAGCATGGGGATCGTAAAAGATGCTTTCGAATATATAACTGTGCGTGCTCCTTGTCTTAAGCCTACGCTATTACGAACGGATAGTGATGAATTAAAAGACTATATTTCTAAACCTGCGCTTAAATATATTTTACGATTCTTAACTGGCCTAGCAACGGATCATGAACCAACACAGTTGGCGGTATCACAATTTACAATCAGTATAATACATAGATTAGAACAAGTATCTTCTGATGAGCATGTTGGATCTCTAGCAGAAAATTTATTGGAAGCATTATGTACAAACAAACGCGTTGCTGAATTAATAGAAAAAGCTCGACAACATACACGTAGCGAAAAAAAACGTTTGGCAATGGCTATGCGAGAAAGACAGTTAGGTGCATTAGGCATGCAAACAAATGATAAAGGTCAAGTAGTAGCTAGTGGAGCAATTCTTCAACAAATGGAAGATTTAGGTGATGAAACAGGATTAGTTTGTGTTATTTGTCGCGAGGGATACAAATTTAAACCAAATATGGTAAGAATCTTTTTTTTCTAAATATTTTTTATCTTTGCAAACATTATATATTTTTTTGTCTTTATTCTTGTATTTAGGTTTTGGCCATTTATACATTTTCAAAACGTTGCAATGTTGAAGAATTTGAAACAAAACAAAGAAAAACAGTAGGATATACTACTGTTACACATTTCAATGTTGTTCATGTAGATTGTCATATGTCTGCAGTAAGATTGGCACGTGGCAGAGATGAATGGGAAAGTGCAGCATTGCAAAATGCGAATACTAAATGTAATGGACTCTTACCATTATGGGGTCCTCAAGTTTTAGAATCTGCTTTTGCTAGTTGTTTAGCAAGGCATAATACTTATTTGCAAGAATGTACGAGTCATCGCGACATATCTTATCCATCAACTGTTCATGATTTGAAATTGTTATTGTTGCGATTTGCTCAAGAAAAAAGTTTTCATGAAGATAGTGGAGGAGGAGGTCCACAATCAAATATGCACTTGATCCCTTATTTAATTCATACTGCACTTTATGTAATCAACACGTATGTTAAATAAGAAATTTTTTTATCTTATTTTTCTTCATATGTTTATATTTATTTCATTTAATATTTCATAATATTTAAATTTTCAAACTATATAAATTTTAAAAAGATATATTGTTATATAATACATATAATATATAAAGTGTATTGTTATATAATATAATAATTATATAATAAATATTATAATATACATACATATATATATATAATATTGTTATATAAATTATTTATATAATTATTATAATTATATGACATATATATATGTATATAATTTTTTTATAGCACACTAGCAGACACTCGAGCAGATAAAACATTAATTGGATATTTGGAAACGCCACCAGGTTCTAGTTGGCTCGATAGTTGTTACGAAGCGGAAGGACCGTTTTATCAGTGCACTATGTCTCTCTTGCTTCATTCACCGGCTCGTTGGAAAACATATAGAATAGTTCATTTAAATAAATTAATTGTTCTTGCCCATCAACGATATGTTTCGCCATCGGGTCCGACAAAAAATATTGTCGATGTTACTATTAAGCATTACGCTGTATATAAAAACGCCTTAATCTTTTTTGGACTAGTCGATTGTATTTATACTCATTTCTTCAAGGTATATTTCTTGTTATTACTTATTATATATAATATACAATTCAATCTAAGTATTATTAATTTATTAATAATTATTTAATTTTTTATTTAATTTTATTATCTTCTCTTGTTTTTTCATAGAAAGTTAATATATTGTCCGATAATCAATGGCCATCAGTTTTGGCTGAATATATCAGGCATAATGACGAAGCTATGTTAAAAGCCTCGGAACATGTATTAGCTACATACCGTGACGAATTGTTACCCTGTACATCTTTCGAAGAATTTTGTGATGTTGTCGGTAAATAAAAAGAAATATATATAGCATGAATAATGAAAGTAGAATATGCTATAATTATTTTTAAGAAAAACAATTTTTTATTTTGTTTTTGATCTATTTTTGATAAAAATTTCTTCAAATGGATTTTTTTTTTAAAAAGTTTCTAATGTAGTATGCACATTTATCGATCTTCTTTACAATGATATTTTGCAATAATTTTTGTTATTTTTTAGGTTTATTGGACGAAATAACGGATCCTACATATATAAGTGACATTTTGCGAAGACTCGGTTAAAAAAAATAAGACGAATATTGCTGAAGAAAATGCACTCTTTTACATATAAATATAATAATTTTCTCCGAATTCTCAAGTTTCGTCCATTTTATTTTCTTTATTTCACACATGCGCATACATATACATACAACATAAAAATTAATTGCTTTTTCATATGTTTACAAAGTTCCTTTTTTTTTTATCTCTATCACTATAAATGGAAATAATATACTCGCTTTGTAAATTGCGAGTTATTTTTTGCTTTTTCGATAGAGAAAATCAAATTGGTGTATTGCGTGTTAACACAATTCTATAATTGTACGTTTAAAAAAAAAAATATGTGCTTTAATAAAATACGAAATATCGTATTATAATTTAATACTTCAATCCAGTAATATTTATTTATGCTATATTCTGATTTGCAAATGAAGAAGTACAAATATTTTATTTTAAATACGAATATATTAATTATTATTTTTTTTTTTATATATAAATTTATATTAAAAGGATTCATTTTATCTATTTTTCTTTTTTTATATTATACATATTATTTTATTCTTTTATTATAGATAAAAAAAATATATCCATTTTACAAGTAAATTACATAGTGACAAACTTAAACTAATCGATTATACAATAAATACAGAAATTATAAGAGAAAATTATTAAAAAATTATTTATCTTTCGGTTTATTCAAAATCGATAGAAATAATTAGATTGAAATAATTCAATTTATTTATATTAGCCTAAAAAGATTCTGCATAAAATTACATAACATAATGTGTAATTTTTTATTTTTTGATTATAGATATATTATTTTTGAATTAAATAAATCAGAGTTATATTTTTTAAAATTACCCAAAATTATAAGTTATATGTTAAAATAAGAAAAACTTCAGGGTATTAAAATTGATGAAATTAATATCGAAACATGATCAAATATAAAAATTTTAAAAATAAAAAGAGAGCGAATAGAACGTTTCTAACAGATATAAGTTTTTTGTAGGATTTTTAATGACATCATGAATAACATAATATATATTCTATGTATCACTTTTCCATAATTTGATAGTTTTATCATTTTCAAGGGCGGCTGAAGCTATAATGTTATCGGTCGGATGACACGTCGTACATAATACCACATCTACAAATCAATAAAGAAATCAAAATATGATATTTCATAATAAGATATATAACTTATTTATTATACCTGTATGACCTTGCAGTTTTTGAACAATTTCCTTGGTCTGCAAATTCCAAATATATACCATATTGTCTTCTGAACCCGAAACAATCCACTGATAACATAAAAATTCAATTTAATAATGATAATTTATATAATTAAAATATCTAATAAGCATATTGCTTATTAGAGCTTATAAGCACATAAAATTTGCAATATAACTTACCTTTCCTCCTGTAACTGAGAAATTTGCAAAAATACAATATTTTTCATTTTTATGACCTGTATATGTTTTCAAACATTTTCCTTTGCTATAATCCCAAAGCTTTAATGTATTGTCCAATGTTGCTGCTAAAATGTATTTTCCATTTGGTGAAAATTTTACAAAAGATACAGGAGGATTATCATCATCAATTAAAGTCTTTAAGCATTGACCAGATGCTGTATCCCAAATTCGACTAGAGTAATTGTATTATTAATAACATTTCCATATTTTTTAAGAATTCATATAAAATAAAATATGCATACTTACCATAATCCATCATAACTACTAGATACAATTAATGATCCATCCCTATTAAAATGAACTGCACTTACAGGATCTGAATGAGCAGGTAATGTTTTTAGACATTTTCCAGTTCTAACATCCCATATTCGAACACTTTCATCAAACTAATAATATTCATTGAGTTAATATTATTCATATATTTATGCATGCAAATCTTTATAACTTATACAAAATCATTTGTAAAAATATTTAATATTAAATTAATTGCTGCTTTTTTTTATTTAATTTTAATTTTTTTTTAAATTATTATTTTTATTTTCATATTAAGTTTAATTTATTATTTTGAAATATATATTATATTCTTTTTCTATCTTATATGTATATTATTCAGGTCTACATATTATAGAAGATCACATAAATTTTTATATTAAAATACTTACAGAACCAGAAACTATTAGATTTGACTGTGGATTAAAATTGCAACAGAAGACATAATTACTATGACCTTTTAAAGTTTTTAAACATTTTCCCTACAAAATAAAAAGAATTGTATATAAATTTATTATAATTTAATTTTATTTCATTTATCTATAATAAAAAAACTTCAT